GAAAGGAGTGGTCAAGTGGTAGAACATGATTCTCATATTAGCAAACCATGAATCCAATGTTTTTTGATTGACAAGAAAAAAATTCACATTTATTATTTAAATGTGTACATTAGATAAACTTTATTCATGTGTAATAGTAGTTCGTAATTCATATAAAAAAAAAAAGTAAATTTTACTATGAAAATTTTAATTAATTTAAAATTTTAAATTGTGGCATTTGTTGGTGGGTTTTACCAAATTAGAGTCAAGAACGAGCATCTATCCAAGTCACGTCGGTATTAGGTGGGAGGTTTTAGACTTAATTAATGTGAGAAGAGAATGTTCGGAGAGACCAAAGATGATGTTAGACCAGCGGTGATGGGTTGAAACTGCGTACAAGTAAAGATAAGCCACGTAAACTCATTTCTTTTCTTTCTTTTTACAAAAAAAAAAAAAAACTATTATTTTATTAAGCTAACAAAGGGATATACAAAGTAAAAAAGGTCAAATAAGCTGCTAAATTTTATCCTAAAAATTAATTAGGCTTCCAAACTTTTAAAAAATGTAATTAAACTCTCAAAACATGTCAAATTAGGTTAATGAAGCTCAAAAACCGATAAATGTGTTATTACATGTCATTTCAGTTCCGGCGACCGGTGACGGCAAAGTTGTCGCCCGTCACCTTCTATTGGTGAAGGCGACCAGAAAGGTCGCATTTTGCAATAGTAGGTGATCGGCGACGGCTTTTTTGCCGTCGCCGGTCGTTGGAATTGAAATGACCTGTAATAAAGGGTCATTTATCGATTTTTGAGCTTCATTAACCCAAATTGACATATTTGAGGGTTTAATTGCACTTTTTTAAAGTTTAGAGGCCTAATTAACTTTTGAAGTAAAGTTTAGGGACTTATCTGATCATTTTCTCTACAAAGTATAAGTGTCTAGAAAATTTAAGAAGTCTCAATTTTCTTCCAATAATAAGGTGTAAGTTTGCTTTTTGCTGCGATTATTAAAGGTTTAAATTAGCTTTATTGTGAGCAGAAGTATATAATTTAATTTTGAGTTTCAAAGTTAAATTAATTTGAATTATGAATTATCATAAGAAAAAAAAAAGGTATTAAGTCTTATAAATACAGAAAACCAACCAAAGTAGTCCTTATATAGTGGACCAGGGCCAAAATGACGCTATTTTTTTTTTTTTTTTAATGAAAAGAAACAGCAGTTACTATGTCCATTACGTTCTGCGGCATGCTCAACTTTTATTTACTTTTTTTTTTAGTGATGTTATAATGAAACTATAGTTTGTATAAAATGAAACTGAATAACAGATCTCATATATTGTATGTATATTGTTAAATGAAATTATAGTTGAACTAGAATGTTACTTTAGTGATGTTGTATGTAATGAAACTGTATTGTGTATGTGTTAAGCTAAATTGAATAACAAGTCTCGCATATTGAATGTACGTGGACAATCCACTAAAACTCTAGTTGAATAATAATGATACTTTAGTGGTGTTGTAATGAAATTACATTGTGAATAAAATTAAGGGTCCGTTAGGAAACCTGGAAAATGACTTTTGGAAAATGTTTTCTGAGTTTTCAGTGTTTGGATGCAATAGGAAAATCCAGTCAACGGAAAATATTTTTCGTTGACTGGGGAAAATGAAGCCATTTTGGTGGAAAATGACTTCCGCCAAAATTTAGGGGAAGTCATTTTCCGCCAAAATGTTTAAACATACAATTCTACTCATTTTTCCAGAAAATAAACTAAGCACACCAAATTTTCCAAAATGCAACCAAACACCGGAAATGAAAATGTTTTCTGGAAAATGACTCATTTTCCAGAAGTCATTTTCCTGCTTTCCAAATAGACCCTAAACTGAATATCAAGTCTCATATATTAAGTGTAAATTGTCCAATGAAACTGTAGTCGAATAAGAATAATACTTTAGTGGTGTCATGATAAAACTACATTGTGTATAAAATGAAGCTGAATAACAAGTCTTGCATATCGAATGTATATTGTTAAATAAAACTAGAGTTTAATCAGAATGATACTTTGGTGGTGCTGTAATGAAACTACAATGTATATAAAATGAATCTGAATAGCAGGTCTCACATATTGAGTGTATATTGTCAAATGAGAATGTAGTTGAATAATAATGATATTTTAGTGGTGTTGTAATGAAACTATATTGTGTATAAAATGTAATTGAATATCATTTCTCACATATTGGCCCTGTTTGGTAAAAAATTGGCCTATAGGCCAATTTTGGCTTATTTGACAACTATTAATTGTTTGATTTAGTTAAAATATCAATATAAATGTTTGGTTAATTAGCTTTTTGCAACTCCAAAAGGCTAAAATTTAAAAAGCTACTCCAAACAACTTTTTCAATTAGCTTTTTGAGAAAAGAAATTATACCAAACAGCTATCATCTAACAACTAATTTACCAAACACTTTTTCTATAATCAGCTAATGTTATCAACTATTTATACCCTTTAATTAACACAATCAGCTAACAGTTAACAGCTATCAGCTAACAGCCATTTTACCAAACAGGGCCATTGAATGTATATTGTCAAATGAAACTATAGTTAAATTAGAATAATACTGGTGTGGTGGTGTAATGAAACTACAGTATCTATAAAATAAAACTGAATAATGAAAAAAGTTGCTACATGAACCATAACAAAAATTACCATCTATTATTGTTAATGAAAAAGATTTCAAACGATGTCGTTTTTCTACGCGGTGTACGCTACTACGAGGACCATGAAAAAAACTACGCGGTGTCCTAAGGCCTAAAGCTTAAGGCCCCCTATCCTAAAAACAATCCCCACCCATGCATAATATAAACTAAGCCCACCGTATAAACTACAGACCCAACATCCACTCTATACAAATATCATGCAAAAACCAAGACCCACAAATTAAATCATACAATTAGCTAAACAAGCAATTATTATATCGTGACTATAATGTTCACTATACGCATTTGAATCATGTACATCCTTTTTTTTTTTTTTTTTTTTTTTTTTTTGGAGAAGAATCATGTACATATAATTAACATACATATAATATATTTGTTGTAATTAACATATATTATATACATGTAATTAACTTATTATGTACCTTTGATTTATTTATATATATAGAATTTGTTTACTGAATGTATATAATATGTTAATTGAATGTACATGATATAAACGAAAGTCCACAATGTAATCTATTATGTACCTTTAATTTATTTATAAGTATATAATTTGTTAATTGGTTGTACCTAACAAATCTCCAATTAACACCAACTTCATCCTCCTAAATGTTCTATCGAGCCGAAGTAGGCGGAAAGATTGAGAATTCAACTTTTTGGGAGAAGAGTGTCTCCTTTAACCCAAACCGCTACTTTCTTTCCAATGCACCCACGCTTCCCAAGCATCAATTGCAAACCCCAAACAAAATTAGCCACTTGCACATGCAACTCAATTATTTTTTACGAGGTAGATTGTAGATAAAAACAGAGAATCCAATTGTTATAATATGAGAGTTACTCCTACTGTTTTGAGTTTCTTGTGCATACCATACATTAGTTCTTCAACCTAATAAATCATTGAGTCATTATAATTTACTCATCAACTATCTTATTAAGTTGGAGTGTAAAGCTTTAAAAGCGAGGAAATTTCGCCTTATACTCCAAGATTTAGCCACTTTTGGCAAGTGGCCTCAAAATGGAATTTGATTTGCCTTTACTTATTTCACAAAGTACCTTGTTATACACTTATACTCCACTACATTAATATAAAATTTGAAACGAATTGAAAGAAATAGTAGTAGACTAGTAGTCAGTAACATTTTTATTCAGAGATTATCCATTAACTGAACAAGACACCTTTTCTGCAACAGTTTCTAATCTCCAATGGATTCTTCGACTAGGGTTTCAGAGATTATCCATTCTTATACATATAGCTTACACTGAATGTTAGAAACTAAGTGGAATTTATACGAGGTAGCTTGGGGGTTTAATCTTCGTTTCTATTGTAATAATGGTGAAAAATGAGAGCGGCCAAGGGAAGCCTCTGGATATATTTTTGATGATTGAATAGGATGAACGGACGGTGAAGCATACCAATGCGAGCAATAAAGTTACAGCTCATCTCATTGCCGTTAAACTTTATCTATTTGCTGTAGTGAAATGAAAACAAGCTCTTTTTTTTTTTTTAAGCACCATTTTTGTGCTTAAGTGATATTGATTGGCGATGTGTTTGCAGATAAAAAACCTTGCTCAATTAGAAGCTGCATTTGCACTTCTTTCTGCTACAGCTTCTGAGCCTTTAATGGTCGGTGGCTTTGAGGAGGCTTGTGGTATTGGTATGAAAACCAAATATTTGTTTAATTTTATTGAATATTGACATTAATAACACTGTTTAGAAGTTACAACACCTTGGTTTCTGCACATAGTAGCATGCATTTTATTTTTATTTTTATTTTTATTTTTTCAATTTATTTATTAGTTTCTGGGTTCAGTTTTTGGTAGCTTGACTTATGCTAGGCAGTATTTTTTAATTTTATTGATGAATTTTTTTGAGACTGATTCATTACTTGAAATAGATGGAGACATGGAGTTCAATTCTTTCTTTTGAACAGGAGTTGATGTGTCCATGGAAGACATAGAAGATCATAGTTAATCATGTATTTGAAGGGAACAGGTCCAAGATTTTGGAGCTACTGTACCAAACAAATGGTTGGTATTTCTTGTTTTTAGCACTTACTGTAGGTTCTGGCACAACATATGGACATAATGCTTTTATATAATGCTTATCATATTATTTTAATATTATGTCATATCATATGATGTTGGGATGGGGAACTTCTAATACTATTATATTTATAAATTTAATATTGAAACACAAAATCTTAGTGTAATTGGCTTTTCTTATTGGGTATATCTAATGAAAAGTAAATAAAGGAGGGGGAATATAACTATTAAACTCTATACGAGTGTTCGAAATGTCTGTGAGACCACCATTGTGTAGTATTTTCCTACACTTTTGTAGAAGGATTTTGTCGGCTTCTCATTGTAATTCTTCCTTTGGAGCATCTGGACAACGGCCTTGGAGTCTAGCTCAATTATAACATTCCTCTATTGCCATTGTCTTACCATCCAAATTCCTTCCTTTAGCTTCAACAATTCCATCAAAAGACCATGTGATAAGCCAATGTTACTCAAAAATCCAATCTCCCAGTCACTTGGGCTTTCAACAGACCTCCTAGTGCCATCTGTGTTAAGCTTTAACAACCCAGTATTTGGTCAGTGCCACCTCACTAACCTTTTGGGCATTCAATCTCTTGCCAAATTATTGCTTACTTCATGTGCTAATCATAGAGCCATGGTTATGACTTTGAATTGGGTGGGGAAAATTCCATGAAACCAAGTTGTGTTCTCACTAGAACCCTCTTAGGAGATGCACGAAGCTAGTCTGCCATTGCTCTCACTGCCTTAGCTCTGTTGGCTTATAGTTCCCCTGAACCCATTCTTGCAAAGGAGCTAGTCTTAGGTGCTGTCTTGCCCCTCCATAAAACTCCCAGAAAGCACATCTAAAGCTAAAATCTCTCATAAAGTCTACCATTATTTAATCCTCTTTTTCACATATCAGGCACAACCCTCTGCGAAATGCATTCCAACCCTCTTCATATTTGTTATGATTTTCTGTTCTGAAACCATCTAGGCAAACATCCTTTTTCTCTTGGTATAATTTACCTTCCTATACCAGGAATAGTTCCCTTCTTCTCTGGTCTATACTCCATTGGCTGCCTTTACTATTAAGATTCCTGTTTTCAAGCTTGTCTAGTATGTCTGATCTTGTTAACCTTCTGTAATCAGAAGAGGAGTGGCTTGGATGGTGTCTACACTCTGTTTTGGTTTGGTATGCTGAAGTGTGGTCAAGCTTCACTCTGGAAAGGTCAACGGGGTGGGGAATATATGGGGGGCATATCCCCTTGTATTGAGTATTGACCCCAATTATTTCTTATGCTGCCCAACTTTGCACCCATTCCCAAATACAGAGACAAAATTTTCCTCATCCCATCCTCGCAGAGTATATACACAAAACAAAATAACTAGTTTTGATGGCATTTAGTGATGACAAAAAGTGTCTTTCTGCCGATGATGTTGTCTTAGGAGCATGACAGCAGCCATAGATTGTTGCTTAATATAAGCATCATTGGAGTTTTCTTTCATGGAACTATGGAAGAAGGTGATGGAACAACCTGTGTTAGCATTGATCCATGAACCAGACTAATTACTTTTAGTTCTTTAGGCAATCTCTCGGCTGGCGGGGAATTGGGTTCCTTTTAGGTATGGGACAAATGACTTTCCTATTTCACTCCCTTGTGGTGTTGATGTATTCCGCCACCTTTTCCTGCATTGGGTTTTCCAGAGTAGTAGCTTCTTCTTCCATAATTAGAGACTTATTTTTGGTGCACGAATCCATCCAAAAACTCACATTGTTGACATCTCCAATGCCAGTGAGCTTTCCTCTCACTCAATGCTCTACCCTTTGAAATGCTCTTCCAAGCTGACAAGGAAGTTTGTAGCATGGGTAGGTGGGTAGCACTCCAAAAGAACTTGTTTTTGATGTATTTGCCCTTTGTTGAGTTTATAGCTATGTGTTTAATGTGTTTCTCCTTTGATTTTCCCCAAGTGTGCACACAAGTTAAGATAAGCTATATTTGTGATATGCGCTCTAGGTTAGCCTATAGGTACATATGTGTGTAATTTTGTGTAACGGGTATTCAAGCAATTACATAATAAAATTTCTCCTAATATATACAACATCCTTCATAGCCCTCATCCAATGGTTGCTTCCTTTTCAGTTTGCCACCCAAGTTTGCTAGGAATGCCACTTGCCATCTATTGCTGAAGAACAATCCCAGCTTGCTTCTACAAATTTCTTGCCTTTGGACCAACTGCAGTTTTTTGTGCCCTTCTATACCTCCCCACAATAAATACCTATTCATTTTATCCAATTCACTTGTCCCCATTGGAATTGTTGTACTTTGCTTAGTGTAGAGGGGGACAGAAGAAGTCAGACTGTATGAGCATCCTTCATTTCTTGCCATGCTGAGTGTTTTCTCCTTCCAGGAATCCAGGGTGCTAATTATTTCCACGTGTTCCACCATGAAAGCACATGTTGTCTTTGTTTTCTGTTCATGTAGAACTGACAATCCAATGCATCCTTCTAGACCAATCATTGCTGGGGTTCTGCAAACCTTGATCAATCTATTTTTTCATACTTAGCCTAACATTGAGGGATAAGAAAAAATTTTGATTTAGCCCCATTGACTCTCAAGTGAGTCTTGTGCAAACCAGTTGAGACACTGCATGATTACCTGCGACTAGTCTCTCCAATATCATTAAGTTATCCAAGAAAAAAAATGAGAGGAACTTATCTTTATATATATGATGTTCTCTTAGTTTTCTGGTGATGTAGGGTTTTAGTAATGGGCCGAGCCCACATATACCTTTATGTGTGTATATATGATGTTATACATGTATTCACAAATACAATGAATATCTATAGTAGTATACTTCCTTTCTCATTACATGAAGTAGCACACACAAACTTTATATAGACATCTTGATGAAGCATATCTTTTATGTAGGTATGCATTTCCTATAAAGTTTACAGAAGTAATGCTTGGTGAAGATAAAGAAACTACTATTGAGATCCAGGCTGAGGATACCCTTCCAATAATATTCAAGCCAAAGGTTGCATTCCCAAAAATGTGTATGTAATGTTTAAGGGTATAGTTAATCTATTTTGTGATGATGTAATCCTTCTAAGCTTATAGTTCTGGGCCTCTGGCAATACTGTTCCAAAGGAGTTCTCCATTGGGATGCAGAGCAATCACCTGGAATTTAATCTACTTAAAGTTGAAGTGAGATTGTTTAACAAATTGTTCCTCTATGAGGTTTGTGATCCTTCTCATTTCCTGCAACTTTCAACTTGCTTGGTATACTTCTTAATATTGATTGCTTAAGCTTAACTTGGTAAAACCTTGTTTGTGCTGATATAATTTGGAAGTCATTATTCTTATTTGTTGTTATCAGAACACTGCTGAACTTGACGACTGGCTCAGTGATTTAAATCCACACTCCAAAATAGTGATGCCAGAGCCCAGATGCATGTGCTGTGCTTTTACTTGGCAATGCTTTGGTCGGAGACAAATTTCAGTATTTCAGTTTGAGGGGGTTGGTAGGTTAGATACCCTGCTATAGAAAATCACTAGAAATTCAATTCATGGATTGCTCAAAGATCATATATGGCCACAACTTTGGGCTATGCTATCAACTTTTGCTTTTACCTCTTTATTTATTTACCTTCAGTATTTTTGCAATATGTTTCCTGAAAAGGAGCATTTTCAACACTAGAATTGTTGGTTTCCAATTTTGACCATTTAAAGTGGCGATTTATTGTACAATGTAGCGCAATTCTACTTTGTTTCATGTTTGAATTTAAGCTACTTTGTTGTCAACAATGATTCGAATTCTGCAAAATTGGTTTTCATCATATCATCGCACTATGAGATAGCTATGCAGCCTATGCTAAAGTTGGAATAGGCATGAAAAATTAGCGCAACTCTTTTTCTAAATCTCTGAGTGTACATTGACCAACCCATTGAATGAGAAAAAAAATCAGATTTACGTATCTATTTGAAATCAAGCAGGTGAATAGATTTAATGTCTCCTCCTGGAACCTTGATGTAATTATTTGTTTGTATAATTGTATTTCTTGCTTGTTCTTGGCTAAGTACTTGAAATTTTGCAATAAACCACTTTGGGATAAACACCTAATGAACTAAGCATTACAGGCAAAGGCTTATTTGATGATTTTACGGACTAGAATAACTTCTGTGAATTGGTTTTCTTGAATCAGAAAGGCATAGAAAGCTCATGCATAGAATAATATCTCATCTTCTGAATGAAGAAGCCAAGAGTCAAAGGTGAAACTTCTTTTTTTGTGGGTGATAAGGTGCCTTTCATTTCATGGGGCACCCACACACTTCTTGACACTTTTTCTTATAGGAACTGAAGGATCTTAGTTACAGAGGCCAGATGACGAGATTGATAATTCTTGTCAAAAGAGGCCCCCACCGTGACCCATGAGAGTTTGGTCTTTTCAAGATTATGTGATTTGTGATTACTGTAAAGATGTTGAAATCTTAAAGGTGAGAGTATATTGCTTTTTATGTTCTGATCTCACATGAAAACTTAGCCTGCTCACATTCTGAGGTGCAACTTTCTTTTGGGATAATCTTTACTCTTTAGCTGATGTGACTACGCAAAAGATTGAAATTCTATTTAGTGCATTTACCTAGATAATAATTAGGTTATGATAATAATAGGTTTACTTAATTACAGTCTGTGTGTTTGAGTATTGCTCTCAAGTCTTTTTCCAGGACTTTTACCCTTCCATTATTGGTAATGCTAAAGTCTGCAGTTTATTTGTCTGCTAAGGTTTATCTTCCACTTAGTCATTTTCATGTTGAGCTTCAAACCACTTGGATGTCTTTCCAACATCAGTGTCAGTAACCATCACATGACTTTTGTATCATATATTTCCATTCTTATGTGGCCTAAAGTTTCATCTTTGTAGCCATTGACTCCAGGTTTAGGTTTCACGCTCGCTGTTAGTGGAGCTATCTGGAGGAGTGTACGCTCAAGGTTTCCAGTCAAGACAGCGATCACCCGAGCAATGGGAGGAGGCTATTGTGCCATGAGAACCGGATGTCAAAGAAGAAAGAAATTAGAACAAGTAACATTCACAATATCCCTCCTCACCATTCTAATTTCTAAGTGCATCCCCTTTTCCTCCCCCCTCTGCTTTTCCCCACAAAATTATCAAACAACAGGTTTTACTTGTATAAATTACCAAGATTTATGCGGTTTGGAATCCCGCTTTACAACTCTAAACGTAGTTCCTTGATAGATAAGATTCTGTTTAAACTTTGAGTATCGAGATTTCTATGGTTTCATCATTAGCTGACAAATAAGGTTATAATTTACGAAATCCGATGACATTCTTGAGTAGTTGTGCAATGATATAGGGATGGAATTTTATGGTAATGGAAACTAGGGAGAGATAAACCATCTTCTTCTCACCATAGTATTTGGTAATATGAAAGAGGTTAGAGAGCCTAGGGCTATCTAAATCTCTCTTTCTGTGTCTTCTAGTAGGATAAAACTAGCATTGGCCCCCACAAATGAATAGACAACACTCATGCCTTTTAACTAGTCGCTTGGATCTTTTTAGTTGTCATTCCACTGAGTTTTTCATGAATTGACCACACAGTTGATCTCCTCATTAGCTAAGCTTAATGTGGTCAATACCCAAATTGAGTAACATTCCAATACTTAGATCAATTGTATCAAGACTTAAAATATGCTCAAAACCATTCAATTATATCTACTCATAACCTTGTATTTGCCATAAAAATCTTCACTAATCTTTCTTATTACAAGTTTGAGTATAACTCTTTTTCAGAATATCTTTATAACTTGAGTTACAGTGACGTGTGTTTTGTAAAGTTGTACTTTGTGCTTTGTAAGTTGTACTCTTTCTTATGTACAAGATATGATTTTACAAAGCATATGACATTTTTATAACGATGCAAGTACAATGATGCGTGTTTTGTAAAATTGTACGTTATGCTTTGTAAGTTGTACTATCCTATATACATCTGACAATGTAAAGTTGTACTTTGTGTTTTGCAAGTTGTACTCTCAATCTCCTATATACATCTGCACTTTGCAAGGTACAATTTTGTAAAGTACGTATAAAATTTCTAATCTTTTTATTATAAGTTTAAAGTTGTAAATATTGATATTAACCACTATGGGGATCTACACTGTAAATGCATTTCCATGATAAGACTATTGAAGAAAAAAAACAAGAAAACTTAGCAAACCTAATTACACCCATTGTGACCCCACCCTATACACTTGATTTTAGTTCACCCAAAAAAAGTTGTTTATAATCTTAGTAATAGTTAAGGCTTAAGGGAATACTATGATGAGCTAATTAACACTGGTAATATAATAGCCCTTAGCCATTTATCATGCGCTAGTGGGGCTATTATTAACAGAAGTCGTGAGTTGACGATAAGTATGCAACTCTTTTCTAGTCTATTTTGCACCACTTCCATAGCCAACTAACAAAGGCGGCTGCCTTTCAGCTTAGATCCCCAAAGTCTTCCAGCTTTCTGTACTGCCACGACTCATCAATGTTCCACAGGGAATCCGCCACGTCGTTGCTGAACCAGTCGTCGGGTGCCGCCAGCTGGCACTCCAGCATGGAAATATCCCGGGATTCGAATGCTGACATGGCGGGGTGGCCGAATGCTTCTTCCCCACCGTAGCAAGAGTTCCCCATTATTTCGACGTGGTAGCAATCGTCGTCATGATGCAACTGGAAAGAGTCTGTGGAGCAAATGTTGAGGTTTTCATTCTCAGAGTTGTCTGTTTTGGGTGGTTCTTGGAGTGTTGGGGATGATGGGAGGTAGGTTTGGTGAGTGGGGTGTGGGGAAGGGAGGGAGTTGATGGGGGGGCTTTGCTGCTTTTCCATGGTGGAAATGGAGGAAGATGAAGATGGAGAGGAGATGAATGAAGAAGTAGTAGTAGAAATCGTCTGCTCCATTTTCTCAATCAACCTTGGCATCCAAAACCTCTTCACAGCTTCAATGAACTTCTTGCTGTTTGAGTCAATCTTCAGCTGCCTAGCTTGCTTCTGCACCCTTGTTCTCCAGTAATTCTTGATCTCATTGTCTGTTCTCCCTGGCAAATGCTGCGCGATCTTCGACCACCTATCATCCAAACACAAAAACATTAAAATCGAACGCTGAATCCAATCAGTTAGCTAATCTATCTAACTACTGACACTCTCACCTGTTCCCCCATTTGGAATGGAGTTCAAGGATTAGGATCTGTTCTTGTGGAGTAAGGTTTCCACGCTTAATGTCTGGTTTCAAGTAGTTGAGCCACCTCAGCCTGCAGCTCTTCCCTGTTCTCCTCAACCCTGCAGAACAGAGAGTGATGATGAGTGTCAAAATAGTTTCTACAAATTGGGTTGTAAGAGAAACTCAAAAGCCCTGTTTTGTAAAATAGTTAGCCTATTTGTCAATTTTGGCTAATTTAACCACTATTAGCTGTTTGACTTGGTTAAACAATCAATATATATTCATTCAGTTAATGCTATCAACTAGTCAAACCTACTAACCCAATCAGCTAACAGCTATCAACTATCAGCCATTTACCAAACACCCCAAAAAACTGTTGGATGTATTAATGAGCTAGCTTAGCACTCACCAGCACATTTGGCTAAGGCATTCCAACGCCCTTCGCCATGGGCAGCTATGTATTTGATAAGAAGAGTGTCTTCTTCAAGAGTCCATGGCCCCCTTCTCAGCTCCCCAAACCTCTCTTCTTCATTACAGGAATTGTTGTTGCTCAAGCTCTGAATTGCACCGCTCTTACTAACCATCATATCTTTCTTGAAAGAGAGAATGATGGATGGGAAGAAAATTTTGTTGCAGAGTGAGGGTGGGTGTGAAAAGTAAGGGTTGAGAATGAAGCAGAATTTGAAGGGTTGGCAGGGATTTTATAGATGGTGCCAACAGGGGAGTTCCCAAAGTTCAAAGAATAGAAATAGTGGGCCCCATCTTGAGGGGTGGGGGGTGGGTAATCCCACATGACGTAGTACTAGTTTTCTTGATCAGATATGTATGGAATCTTGATTGATGAGGTGATTGTGAGTGTGTGTGCAATGAACCATTTGGAAAGATGTTAAAAATGCTCTTGGTATGAGCCTATATATCTGCCCAAAAAACTTAATACATGTGCATGGACCCTCCCCCCACCCCCTCCCTCTCCCACTTCTTCATATTGCCTCTCCTCTTCTCCACTCAACACACTCTTGATCACCCCCCTCCCAAAAGAAAAAAATTAAATGGTTATTCATACATCAATAATTGGATAATATCGAAATCTATTTAATAAATCGGATAAAATTTATATGATTTATTATGATATAGAAAGGTATATTATGATATGATTGTTCTACTACCATAACATATGGTTATATCATAAAGTTAGGTCCAAGGATTTGTGATATTCATTCATTCAAGTGGACCATAGGCTATCTACCCTACCTTGAGCTTAAGAGTACATATTGTACACACAAATGCAATGGATTGCTCAATTGATGACAAATCAACAATAGTTTTGAGTTCTAACAATGTTATTTTAATTATATGTACTAATATTGTATGGAAGGTTTTGACAATCTTTGAACCAAGAAGTTCACTATCATGATAGATCATTAATTTCTTTTTGAAAAAAATGACACTTTCATCTTTTAGTTATAATTTACAAAGTTCTTGTTTGGTAAATGACTGTTAGTTGATAGCTATTAGCTGATTGGGTTAGAGGGTACGCCTAGTTGATAACATTAGTTGATTGTAAAAATGTGTTTGGTAAATTAATTGTTAGCTGATAGTTGTTTGGTATAATTTCTTTTCTCAAAAGCCAATTGAAAAAGTTGTTTTGAGCAGCATTTTGGAGTTACAAAAAGCTGATTAACCAAACACGTATATTGATTTTTTAACCAAGTCAAACAGTTAATAGTTGTCAAATAAGACAAAATTGACTAATAAGCTAACTATTTTACCAAACAGGGCCAAAGTATGCTAGACTTTGTCGTTCACTCCTATAGTGAGTACATTCACTTTTAATATGTAAGTTGATGCGAAGTAATGCTTATAGTCTCAGTATAAAAGAAGTATAATATCCATGGAGGTGTGAATGAGATGACCAGGATCTTTTCTAGTTTAAGGTCTTGGATTCAACCCCTAAAAATGTAGCTATCTTAAAACTCATGATTAGCGGTATGGTCTATGTAGTTACCTGAAAATCTATGAATATTAGTCTAGGCAGTGTCGTCCTAGCTAATTGGTCAAGGAAACCTGTAATTTTTCTTTTAAGTCTGAGTATTGGGTGTTAGCAAAAATCAAACTCACGACCATCTCAATACAAGAATCATATTTCACTCACGCGGCCATCCCTTCTGAGGTGTTGTACCCTTATTATAATTCTATTGTACATTGCTCACTTGGGAATCAAAACTACCACTTCAGGCAGATCCCTAACACCTGAAAAATTGACTTCAATTGACTACACTTAGGACTAAAGTTTTATTTATTTATTTATTCTTGTATACGGTAAGGGTGTTGGTCATTTCTTTATTTTAATTTTTTTATTTTGTTGTTAATTTTGAGTGTGTTGGCAGGTCGTTGGTCATGCATTTGTCTTTTTATAAGTACGACTGTATCATTGCACTTTAGACTGAGTTGTAGATAGGTCGGATACAATGTAACTGAAGAAATACACAATACGTTTTGATTCTTTTCCATAGACTTGGGGAAAAGAAACAACATAGAAAAGCCTAGAGAAGAGGAAGTAAAGATTGGAAAAAGGAAAATCAAAAATATCTGAAAAGTAAAGTAAAAAAAAAAAAAAAAAAAAATCTTGACAATGAAGTCATTGAAGTGATTGTTGAAAAATCTCTAATAATTTTTTAATTAATTAATTAATAATAATAATAATAATAATAATAATATTATTATTATTATTATAGTACTAAGTTGTATTAGCAATTCACTTACCAACTGAATTAATTTGGGCAAATTATATCATGCACCTTGGAGTTCATCTTACAAGGTGGACTCTGATACATGTCTATTTTAGTATATTGTAGATTTTCTTTAAGAAATGATTCATTTTTCTGCATGGACCCTGATCCACGGTATAATAAGAAATGATCTTCTAACTTTTCTTTAAAATATTTGCTTTCTCCCATATGCTTGAAGAGTTGAAGCTCCAGTTTTTCATAATACAACGATTTACTACCTTTAAATTTGAACACATAAATTAAATTAAACTCACAGTGATCCAGATATATAAAACACTTTTGAAAAAGGAGAATATATGATGATTTACATATCAAATTTATGCCAAAAGTTTCAATACTGAACTGTGCTTGCTGCTGCCACCTTTGGAAGTTCCACCCTTTACTAAATTTCATGGATTCCCAAAGAAACATGGCTTGACTGAACTATATATATAATATAATATAAATATAATATAATATAATATTGGGAGAGTTAAGTGAACGTGGGATATTTGGGTTTGGTCAGCAGGGCGGCAGAGCATACATAGTATGGCCATGAGCATGCATGGAATATAATGTTCTTGTTTTCAAGAAAATGATGTCTCCTCACTCTTTGTTTTTCCCTATGCTTTTTTACTTTTCTTTTTCTTTTCAAAATCCCAATATGTATAAATTTCAAGTCAAAGATTTGAGGGATTGTGCTTACCTCATCATATTTATACAATGCAATATATATATACTTTATTTTGGGATGACCAGAGAAATTCACAGTCACTATTTAAGTTAGAATATGTACGAGATAAATCCCACCTTGTAACATTATCCAGCAAAGAATCAAAAAGAAATAAATCAGTCTAAGTTGTTCATACCTGGCCAGTTCAAATAACAAAGAATGTCAATATGTATAAATTTCAGTCAAAGATTTGAAGGATTGTGCTTACCTCATCATGTTTATACATAATACAATATATACTTTGGGACAAGATTAGTTTAATGATCTGGAATGAGAATATATTATATATAAGTAATAACACTTTGGGCACATGTGCTTGCACTTTTTGCAATAAGGTTCCTTTGTGTTAAAATTCTTAAAGTTTTGGTATATCCAACTGGCTCATCTTTAAATAGTGAACAGTGCTTCAACTAGTAGTTTCCCATTTGGGTTAATTGGGACTAATTTAGAGGATTAGAGGAAAGGATAATTAGCAGCCTGTTAGGTGCAAATGGAATGAAAGTTGTATATATAGATAGGTATAGAATCCTTTCTACGAGAAATAGAAAAAAAAATGTTAAGTGAAATGATATATGCAACACCGTGGGACGTGTAATACTTTTTTGGTTAAAATATAATATTTTTTAGTGACAACATGCATAAAAAATTATATTTTAACTAAAAAAATATTACACGTCTTACGTGAGATAATATTACACAAGACTTATTTTGATAAAAAAAAAAAAAAACATATTTGTATATGTTTTATGCAGGGGAAGGAACTAAACGATTCGTTAACAAGTTAGTATGTTTTATCTTATACTTTGAAGAAAAAAATATTTATTTGAGAAATTTATTTTTTTAGTTATTAATAAGCAATTCTAAAATAAATAGTATGTATATATAATTTATATCCACTCATTTTGTCATATTTTATTCTTTAAAAGAAAGTAGTATTAATTTTTTTTTTTCTTTTGAAAATGTTCAAAAGATAAAATAATGGCTTTAATCTTTTAACTGTATCTATATTATTTACAGATTTGATCATCCAATTATTACTTACTTAGGGTGTGTTTGGTTTACACATGGAAATTAGAATCGGATGAGAATCGAATATATATTTAGTAATTGTATGTGTTTTGGTGAAAGTATTTTGCATGTTTGGCAGTAAGGTGGAATTAGAATAATTACCAATGATATTTATGTTTGGTTATGTATAAGTGTATGACCCTATAATGGGAATAAAAGTTTTAAAAATACAGAAACAGAAAATCAAGACAATTGATCCTATATAATGACGTCCAAAGCACCAATATGTAAGAAAAATAGATGAAACAACAATATTGCCCTTGATTATTATTATTATTATTATTATTATTATTATTATTATTATTATTATTATTATTATTATTATTATTATTATTATTATTATAGAAGGACATTTTAATTTTTATTATTATAGAAGGACATTTTAATTTTTATACCACTTATTTCCTTATCAATCCCATTAATTCTATTTTTCATTACCAAACAATATAATTTGAATTAATACTTTATTTCTATCTTATTCTTTTTTCACTGAATTATACTATGTAATTCTTTCCCCCTTAATCCCTTCCTTCCAACCAAACACCTCCCATGGGAGAAAGCTAAAGCATGTTTAGAAAGGGAGGGATAGTTTTGTGGGACCAAAAAAAATGTTGATTCATTGACAACTTGTGATTGCAATTTGGGAAGTAAATATGTATTCTTGAATTACACGAAACTGAAAATGAAGCAAATGTAGAATTCACTATTCCACTGAAGTTGACTCCCTTATGAAATAATTTGTCTGCTATAACAAATTCAAATTATGCTTAATTCTTAGAAAAATTCCCAAATGCCTTTTAATACACAATATAATGTTTACTTCTAAAAATAAATAAATAAAAATTAAATTTTTTGTCATATCAACTAAATTAGATAAAGAAAAGAAATATAATGTTTGACAAAATTATTCTCTTAAATTTTTTCATAACAAAAGTATTTACTTTTTTTTTTTTTGCCAATAACATTTTGGCCTAGTTGCATGCAGTGACTCTTCCAAATAGAAGGTTAAGGGTTCGAGCTCTTGAAGATCACAATGTCTATTTATAACTACTTTTTCAATCAACTGAAGCACAAAGAGTCAATACCGCCCCCATTGAAGCTTGAACCCGC